AAATAAATGTGCTTGTTTTCACTTTAACTGGTTTGACAATTTTAAGAGTCCTGAAGGGAGTTCTAACGCAATTCTTAACAGCTTCTTCTGTCTTTGTTATGACCTTTTTGCTCTCTTCATGAATAATATCCTTGATTTCATCCTACAGCTCCCCTGGTCTTCATTGGTGATCAATGCCTCAACCTGTTCTTAGGAGGAGTTTTTAGTTCGGTAGAACAGACTCAAGGTCATATTTTGGTTCTTATAGACTTGTTTCATTCTTCTTTGGTTTCAGTTTAAACTTGCACATGAGTCTGTTCCGCAGTCAGCACCTGGCCTAATTCAGACGCCTGATACTTAAGTTCTCTAGTGATTCCTTCCACAGATGTAGTCAATCTGATTCCTGTGTAGTCCACCATCAAAGTCACCATTTTCTGTATGTGTAAAAATGAAAAAAATATTAAAAGAAAACATTTTTTATGTTATTTTCTATGACTAAATTATCAAATGTACAAAATCCAATCATTCGTTCTCCGGCCTCATTTCTGTCACCAAGTCCGTACTTACTGACTGCCATTCTTCATTGTTTTCAACTTTTACATTCTAATCACCAATAATTAATAATGCATCTTGATTGAATGTTTGATCAATTTTGGGCTGCAAAGGTTGGTAGAAACCTTCCATATCCTCCTCTTTGACTTTAGTTGTTGGTGTATATATTTGAATAATAGTAATGTGAATAGGTCATCCTTGTTTTGCATATGAATAGTATCCAAACACAACATTGTATTTTAGGATAGATCTTGAAATTGTCCTTTCAACACAAATGTCAGGAGAAAAGGAGACATACTGCTTTGGGCAAGGCTGCTGTCAGGGACTTTTCCAAAATACTGAAGAGCAACGGTGTCAGTTTGAAGACTAAGGTGTGCCTGATTCAAACCATGGTCTTTTCAATAATTTGCTATGCATCTGAAAGCTGGACAATGAATAAGAATGACAGAAGAATTTAAGCTTTGGAGTTATGGTATTGGATAAGAGTACTGAATATCCAATGGACTCCAAAAGAACAAACAGGGAAACCTTGAAAAAGGTGCAGCCAGTGTGCTCCTTGAAGGCAAGGATGGAAAGCTTCATCTTTCATACTCTGGACATGTTGCTAAGGAAGGCCATTCCTTGGAAAGGGATAACATGCTTGGAAAGAGAGGAAGACCTCACACAAGATGAATTGGCACAGTGATGGCAATAATGGGTTCATGTGCACCAGAGATGAGGAGGATGGCACAGGATAGGACAGGGTTGAGATCTATTGTTCACAAAGTCACTATGAATTGAATTGTGCTTAACTCAACAGCAGCTAACAATCACAACAATGGAGCTCTGATGACACCGTTCATAAGAAGTTGTTCTACTAACCCAAAGGTGCCATCTCTCTGGCAGTTCAAATCCACCAGCTGATCCAATGTAGAAAAGTGTGTGATCCCCTCCCGTGTGGTTGCCGCCTACTGAAACCCCACTGGAGCTTCAGCAATGAGTCAAGTCCAACTCAATGACAATGAGTTTTTGAGTGAGGAGCCCCTGGATGGCCTTGTTTAAGCCCTTGACTATTAGATTAAAAATTAGTGGTTAGAACTCACCCAGAAGCCCCTGAAAGACAGACCTTGCCATCTGCTTCCAAAAGGTGGGGGCCTGGAGAAGCAGAGAGCAGCTTCCATCTGCACACACAGGGCTGTCCTGAGTCAGAATTGACTGGACAGCAACAACAACAACAACAGCATGAGTCTGCCCTTCTCAACAGACTATTAGAGGTTTCTCTAAAACAGTTTATCACAGAGCCATGACTGTGATTATAGGACTAAGTATCTCTAAGACAAGCCTACATAATTTCTACAATAAAAGTGAGTGGAAGCTATTTTTGTCCTAAAAATGTATCATCCAAGCAGATTCTATTCTGTTCTAAAAGTGTACTAAATTCTGCCTATGTATTCACAATTTCTTCTGAAGCTAATGAACAATACAGGCAGGCGGGATTAAAAATTATTTTCAATAATAATGAAAGGCATTTCCTTCAAAGGGGCTCATGACAGTTAAGATGAATAGAACCAAACAGGGAAGGTACAGGAAAAAACAATGAAACAACAACCTTTCAACAGACCACCAGCTCCAGTCACCTGTAGATCCCCTCCCAGGCCCTACTCTTTGTTACTATGATCATTAGCAAAGAAAAGCCTTTATATCTAAAATAACCCAAGCTTTAGCCAGGACACAAGAAAAGGAGCCATGAAATGCAGGCCAGATGGGAGTTAAGACAGACCAGCATGTGTGTTCATTATCACATTATAGATGTGCCAAATTTAATAATTCAGGTTGACAGAATCATTCACATTAAGAATCAATCTCTACCACTTTCAGGAGGTGAGACCACAGCTGGGACTTCACGGGCTTGTTCATGAGAGCACTTCACTTTGGTGTTCCCTTCATGCATTCTGGTGGTGCTATGACATTACAGTGGCCATAATACACAGCTCTCCTTACAGGGGCCAGGATCGACACAGAAAACTAACACAAAATATGAATGGCATTCGAGGAAATGCTGACTTAAAATGCCAGTTGATGAAGAAACAGGTGAAATGGGGTTTGGTTGGCAATGAATCAGTTCATTATACACCAAGGGCGTTGTCTATTAAAGATGTCTGGGTGAAGGGTGCAATTAAAACCCCTATATAAGTGCTCAGATCCCCAAGCCCAGTATTCCAAAGCACTTGGGCCTGAAACTTCCCTTTTTCTTGGCAGCATAGGTAAGTCCTCCAAGAAAAATTCTATTTCTCTTTTCCTAAACGTTCTACTTTCTTGCTTTTATATAGGCAATAAGACAGAGCTGATAAAGAATTCCATAAAGGCCTTATTTGAATTGTTGTTACATGCTAAAAACTTTACCCAAAGGCTAATGTCTTGTAAATGTTCTACTGTTCAAGGAGGGCAGTATCTAAACAATAGTTCTTGTCTTGGTCTCCAACCATTGCTTTCCAGTAGTCCTAATGTCAGCTCTGACGACTGGTGACCCTGTGACTGACAGAGAAGAATTGTACTCCAGGGTGTTTTCAATGGATAGTTTTCCTGAAGTAAATATCCAGAGCTTTCTTGAGGGACCTCTGAATGGAACTGAATCTCCTTTCTGCTACAGCCAAGTGCGTTAACTATTGGCACCACGCAGTGACTCCTCAGGTGTCCATTATTAGACTCTGCTAGACTAACTTTTCACATTCACTCCCTTCACATTACCAGACCACACTACAGCCCTGAGACAAAGGAGATAATTAGCAAGTGCTTATTGGATTCGTTAATTCACTATTACTGCCATCAACAGAATCTTCTAGGATCAAAAGGACCTCAGGGATCAAGCAGCCAGTGGTTTTTGAAGCTGTAGCAGTATCAGCTGAGAACTTTTCAGAATAAGATGCCAGGGTCCAGCCACAGACTTGCTGAATGAGCATCTCTGGGGTGAGACCTGGAGTCTGTTTTCCTAAAAGTCTCCTGGAGATTCTAATGGTCAATAAAGTTAGGTAAGCACAACCTAATTTGACTCAGAATCATTCAATTCAGTCACATATTCATTTAACAGGCATTTAGTAAACCCCATTCATGCTAGGAAGTTCTGGTGGCCTAGTGAGGAGAAATTGTGCTCCCAGCCCAAAGGCTGGCAGTTAGAACAATCAGCTGCTCCAAGGGAGAGAGATGGACAATCATTTCCTGTGTGATTTACAGCCTCTGAAAACCCACTTGAGGGTCAGATATGAGACAGCTCTGACTCCAAAGCAATGAGTCATTACATCCTAGGTACTAAGGTAAATATGAAAGAAGTAAGACACTGTCCTGACTGTCACACAGCTATCTCTGAAGGAGACAGATAAGAAACAAGCAATTCATGTGATATGTATCATAACAAGGGTGAGTAAAAAGAAAGCTATCATTGGGCACCGAGGGCTCTTTAGCCCTTTTGTGTACTCTGTGGGCCAGACAGCCTAGTGCAGACAGTTCTCTGCCGCATTCCCATCAGCACTGTCCACAGGGACAGCCACGCTTAGAGGTGACAGGAGAGGCTGCGTGATCTTCATTGCAGTTTTCCAGGAGTGTGCTCATGTCTACTGAGTTTTGTATGTTTTAACTATATTGTTAAAACATAAACAGAGCCTCTATGTTTTAACTGTGTCCTATAAAATATTGTGTTGTGAATCCTAATCCCTATACCTGTGATGAGGTATGCTGGTGGTGCAGTGGTTAAGTGCTTGCTGCTAAACAAAAGGTTGCTGGTTGAAACCCCTAAGTTGCTTTTACAGGAGAAAGATATGGCAGGCTGCTTTCACAAAGATTTAAAGCCTTGGCAACCGTGTCAGTTCTACTCTGCCCTACAGGGCCAGATGAGTCCGAATCAACAGCAATGCATTTCGTTATATGTACTTGTGTTAATAATCCCCATTGGGAATGGAGATTTTATTGACCATACAGTATCAGTGTTGCATGTGTTTTAAGTCAATCTCTCTTGAGGTAGAAAGGAGATTAAACAAACAAGTAAGCAGACATGAGAGAAGAGAGGCATTATGAGGCATGAAGAACATCCAACAGGCAAAGAAAAAGATCTTCTCCCAGAGAAAACATAAAGGAAAAAGCCTTTCCCTGAAGCCAGCATTCTGAATTCAGACTAGCCTCTTTAACTAGGAAAAATTAATTTTTTTATGTGCCAAAGCCACACACTTGTGGTATTTCTGTTAGAACTGTACTAAATAACTAAGAATGGGCCTGTTGATTTCTGCCCTTGTCTTTGTTGGGATCATAAGTACATTATGAAATGAAACATAAACTAATTATATAAACCAGCTGATATTTGACATTACAGATAGATCAGATATTTACATTGTGCTTAGCCTCTAAGAAATGGAGAAAGAAGGTATGATAGTAATTCTGAAAAATAAAACACGTTGAGTTTCTCTGTTGCCTTCCAGATACACTCCAGTTGACACAGCAAGATGCCTCACTACATTCTGAGGAATATCATCAGTATCATTGATGTTTTCCACAACTATGCAAAGAGCGATGGAGACTGTCAACGGCTGAGCAAAACAGAGCTTAAGAAACTTGTCCAACAGGAGCTTCGAGTGGCCCTGGAGGTAAGAAAAGGACAAGGATTTGACCACTCTCTTGTAAATTTTCTGTTACTCTTTTGGCTTCAGTGACACTGCCCTCTTCTGGTTATACTCCTGCCACTTTAGCTATTTTTTCTTTCAGAATTATTTCAAGTTCAGTTTCTGTGCATCACTTAAAAGCTGATATTCTCCATAATTCTCTCCCCACTCTGTGCTCCCTTTACTGGTTTCATTGACCTTGTTGGTTTCCATAACTCTGTATGCTCATGAATTTCAGAATCACCTCATCAATCCAGATCTGGTAACTGCCCATTAAGCATCTTCTTGGATATTATGGAAACATCTAAAGTTTAGCCTATACCAATCTCCCCCTCAAACCTTATCTTCTATCTGCATTCTACACCATAGCCAACACAGCCACAGAACCCACACATCTGTCTAACGTGAGCTTGAGTCTTGATACCTTTCAACTCTTTTACCTCTAACATCTAATTTAATCCCTAAATCCTGCTTAAATGAGTGGTAAAGAAATATCTCTCAGACCTATGCCTTTATCTCTTTTCTCATTGCCACCACTCTCTCTGACTCAAAATACTGCAATTGCCTCCAAACTCCCTGCCTCAAATCTGTCCTTCCCTATCACCCCACTCCTGATTCTATCACTTAACTTTAACAAAGTGATATGACTTAGTTGTTTACTCCGCTGCACCCCTGTAGCATTTTTACAGTGTGTTATAATTGCCTGTTTACTTGTCTCTGGGGGCAGTGACCATATCCATTTGTTTTCCTTGTAACTTTGGCACCTGGCACAATTCCTGGCAGATGCTCATTTATTCAATCAGTCAGTCAATATTTACTTAATATCATGTGCCAGGTATCTTGCTAAGCTCTGCAAGCAAAATAAAAATGGTTCCTGTCTGTGAAACATACATACAGTAAACAAATAATAAAAATGAATTTTAAAAAAATTAAGTATAAGCTCTAGTGGGAAGTGAGAGAAGGTTCTTTGAGGAAGTGTAGCATTGTCAAGATTTAAAGCATATGTGGACATTGGTTGAGTGAAGAGTGAGAAGAGAGTTCCATGGAAAAAAGAGTATGAAAGAAGTCTCTAAGTTGGAAAATAGTTTCATGTGTTCAAAAAAACAGGAAGAATGGCAGGAGGTGAAGGTGATAGAAGATGAATTATGTCAAGGAATTTAGATTTCCTCCCCCCAAAAGGAAACCATTAAATAGTTCTAAGCCCAGAAATGCAACATCTAATTAACATTTTCTAAAATTAGCTTGGCATTTGGGTAAAGAATAGATTATAAGAGAGTAAAGGAAGAAATAAAGAGATGAGTTATCAGGCTACTACAAGAAAAATGTGATTCTAGCTGGCATTGCTGTTAAATAATGGAGAAGAAAAGAAATGAGTTAATTAGTGATATGTTAGAGGTTCAAACAAAAGACCTAATGATGTACTGATAAGATAATTGATGGAGAGGTAAATGAGAAGATAACTTGAGAAACTAAAGGATAGCCATATCCTTTCCCAAAATAGGGATGATTTGGTAAAGAGTAGATATGGGAGAAAGTCAAAAGCTCAGAGTTGGATATGTTGAATTTCTTCTACTCAGGATGTATCACAGAAAAATGGCACCAAGGCAGTGGATATATACAAGGCTAGAGCTCCAAAGAACAACATGGCCCAGAGAAAAAAAGAAAAAAAAATTGGCATTGGCTAATTAATTTATGAAACAATGGAAATGGATGAGAAAGTTAAAATACAAGGTTACAAGAAGGCCCAAGACTAAATCTTCCAGAAACTGCAATATTTTGAAATCAAGAAAAGGAAGAAAAATGAGGATAGTAAATGTAAAAATAGAGTCAGAGAACTATGTGGGAAATCAGCAGACTGGAATGCCATGGAATCCAGGAGAGTGTTTCCCAGTGAAAGAGGAGAGACTGGTCCTTGGAGAAGGACATCATGCTTGGGAGGGTGGAGAGACAGCGCAAGAGGGGAAGGCCCTCTATGAGGTGGATTGATTCAGTGACTGGGATAATCGGGATGGGAGTGTCAGAGACAGTGCGATTGGCACAGGACAGAGCAGAGTTTAGGGCTGTTGTACATAGGGTCGCTATGAGTCGCAAGTGACTCGACGGCACATAACAACAACAACAAGTGGATATATCAAAGGAATGGATTAGAAAGTGTTTATTGCATTTGGCATCAGAGATAACACTTGCTATTATATAGTATTGAATATGGAAATGATAATGATGAGGATTAAAGACTGACTTAGGAGTAAAGAAGTAAAGATATTTACAGATGGTTTTTCCAAGAAGCTTGGTGATAAATGGTGAGAGCAGACAGTGAATAAGTATAATGGAAGAAGAATTGATGTCTCTGAGCTGTGATGCTGGAGAAGAATATTGAATAGACAGCTAGGAGAGCAAACAAGTTCATCCTAGAAAGCCTGAAATGAGGCTGCTCCTTGGAGGAAAGGATTTTGGTGCTCCATCTGACATACTTTGGGCATGTAAGGGACCTCAAGCTTGGAAGGGTGGAGGGACAGCGCAGGAGAGGAAGTCTCGAGATGAGAAGGATTGACTCAGTGACTGGCATAATGGGGATAGGTGTGTCAGAGACAATGACGCTGGCTCAGGATAGAGCAGTGTACAGAGCTATTGTACATAGGGTCACTATGAGTCACAAATGACTCCACAGCACATAACAACACAACAGAAAGAAAGATATTAGGCAGTGAGAACATGGCACACAAGGGTTTTTAATATAAGACTGCCATTAAAGCGTACTTCTGTACCACCAGGAATGAGCTAACAGACTCTAAAACACTGAAAACTCTGAGAAAAGAGATAATCAGATGCAACTCAGTCTTTTAAAAAGGAAAGAGAATAATCTATAGGCACAAATAGATGGATATGCCTTTGTTTTAAGTAGTTGCACCATTTGTGACTTTGTTTGGATAGATTAAAAGCTTATTGTTGTTTTCTATATATGTATGTGTTGTTGTTTGATTCATATTGATTCATATTTGGATATATATAAAATGAGGTCATTGAGTAAGAAACAGAAGTAATAGTTGTTAGTAAATATTTAAAATGATATACTTTAGTAGGGAGTTCTGGTGGCATAATGGCAAGAAGTTGTCCTACAATCTTAAAGGTACACAGTTCAAGTCCACTAGCTACTCTGTGGGAGAAGGTTAATCAATCTCCTCCCATGTAATGAACTGCTTCTGAATATGCTATGGGTTGGTTCTGACTCTACAGTACATAACAACATACTTTAGTAATTCAGTGATATAAGAAATAAACATTTCAGTCACTGTGACCTCAAAGTATAAATACTACTGCAGTATATGCGGACAGAGAGTGGGGTGGAGCTCCCCGATTAAAACAAGCTTGGAAGGAGGAGTGGCATCCACTTCCGTAATAGCTTGCCTCCGGAA